ATTACTACTTCAATAATATAAAGAAATTTTCCTGCTTGAAATTCTGTTTGGATTTTTGCAGCAGTAGAAACTTGTTAACACACGTGTCGAACAGTTCATACATGTGTTGATTTCATACAGCGAACAAGTGACAAGTTCAGCATTAGAATTCATAGCTGCAAATAGACTTGGCATTGAGGGCTAACTTAACTCTGGTCACGCGCCGGACTTTGCCTTAACTTTCGTCTTGAAAAAAATGTCATTCGCGGCAAACTTTACTTCAGTACATCGGGACCATAAGCAATAAAAATCCAGGAAACGAGCCTTCTTGCTCAAAACTGTCGCTGGGCTTGTATTGGATATTGGATGAACAAATTAAAAGAAGTTAGCGTGTTAATTATTAAGCGTGATACAAATACTACGGAGAAATCGACGGCATAGATACAAAGACTCTCCTTTGCCGTTAAAAGGTAAACCCAGAAAAATTGATGTATCATGTAGCCCGAATAGTGACACCCCAGAGCGATTTGGACACAGTTTAGAATGTTTCTAAGGGTACGAAGTATTGAATGTATTGATGGTATCAGCTGAAGATATGAATGCGATAACGGAGGTTTTTCTTGACAGAGATCAGGCTGGGAGGTGCTTTTCACAACACAATTGTCTTTGAACCAATTAAAAACGAAGGTTATACACATGTTGATACATCAATCTCGTAAAAAATACAGGGCTTGCTTCCTATTTTAACACGTTTTTCTTAGCTTAGCTTCGCGTTTGTTTGTTTGTTTGTTTGTTTGTTTGTTTGTTAGGCTCACCCCAAAAAACGTGGGTCGGGCTGTACGTTCACCATCAAATTTCCAAAATTTGTGTGTTGTGTGCTTTTTTGCTTTAATCATAAATCTGCCTGACACACGTTTTTTGGGGTGAGCCCTAATTTATTTTCTATTTTTTAGTCCACAAGAAAAACGTGGTTTTTTAAAAAGTTTTTTTTAAGTATTTTATTTTTAAATATCGACAATAAACAATAATATTTTAAAGAAAACGAGAAACAAATTTCGTTGCGAATATCGGATAAAATTAAAAAGCATGAACCTAAGTTAATTTTAAAATTATAGAGAAAATCAATCATCATTAGAGATTTCTATTATATTACCAACTTTTTCAACGTAAATTATTCTTGAAAATTCTAAGAAATCGCCTCACAAAAAACCTAAATTGAAAAAAAATTTTCATAGTCGCGCTTCAAATGCTTTTTTAGTTGTTCTCCAATGAAAGCTCAAGAATGGAGCTCAAGTTAAATTAAGTATATTTTTAAAGTTTTTGATTGAAAAATCCATCGTATATGATAGTCATCATGATCATATCTTCGAATAATATGATGTTGCTGCATCATAGAATAATATGATGTTGCTGCATCATAGAATAATATGATGTTGCTGCATCATAGAATAATATGATGTTGCTGCATCATAGAATAATATGATGTTGCTGCAATCATAAGATGCGCGTCATCATAGGCTCACTGATAGAAGGACTCCTACACTCAAAGAAATTAGCTAGACTTTGTTCAGATAGCGATGCACTTTTTCTTTTGTGTGGGACATCTGGACCCAGTTTGGACCGACAAAAAAGCACCAGCGCTACGTCCGCTCTCTGCTCACTTGTAGGAAAATGCTTCACTATTTGGACAAAAGGACCCACTGGTTTTCTGAGTGTGCTGTGCCGGACGGGCAGCAATGCTTCTATGGAGCAGAAGCTCTAAATACATTGGGGAACCGGGCATATATTTAAGTATTATTTTATCGTAAAATAATTATGATATATATGAATTGTTTCGGGCCTGGGGCCATGATCATGAAAATGAATTAATTGAATGTAAAAAATCAAGCAATCAAAAGTCACTAATGTCTGTTTTAGGCCTCAGTGTTTCGCGGAAGTGGCCGGTAAAAATGTATAGAATATTTGAGACGTTTTCCATATCTTTCTTTGTAATGCTTATTGCAATATGCGACAAATTTATTAACGTTGCCTTTTATTTTAATTTTATTCTCAATTTTTGGGGATCGTTGCGTTAGTTTTTGACACGTCCTCTCAAACAAAGGTGCAATATTAAATAAGTTACCGTCGTTAATTTCCATCTATTCACAAGAAACTAGAAAATAAAATTAAGTATTCAGTTATAAATCAAGCTGCCTTCATTTTAATATGCATGCAAGGTTTTGTTCACAATTATTCGTTTCTTATTTGATTAAAATTCTCTTATTAATTCACTCAGGTTAGCCAACTAATCCTGTTTTAGTTCCTACAGGTTTCATGAAAATCAAGTTACGTTAATTGCCAAGGTAATTTCCAGGTCGCATTACTCTGTTGAAATGCTTCTTCTCTTCATTATATCTCTTGACTGAAGCATGCACTGGGAGAAATGAGTGAGACTATTGTTCAAATAGCAACTCACTTTTTACTCCTGTGTAGGGCATTGCCATTCACCAAGTTTTTTCTGCAAAAAGACGTATTTTTTTCTGTATTTTAAAGCATTTTTTGGCTTTATGGAGTTAGTAAATACATTGGAAATTTTTGGCCTATTCTTCAGCGCTGACGCTAACAGCGCTGACGCTGACACCAACATCAGTGCTTCCAGCAGAAAGTTTGTCAGGATTTAGACAATGTAACCCGTACATTTTTCTGAGAGCTACTTCCGACTGGCAATTTGCTGAGCGCGTATTGCATTCATCAAGTATGTTGCTGTCACGAGGTAACCGGATTATTGCCCCGAACTTTGTCCAACTTTGCCGTAAAGTAAGCGGAACTTGTGAAAGTTTGTCTCGTAAACTCAGTGTAAAGCGAACGAGTGAGACACGTCGAACTACACCTGGGGGCACACTCAAATAAATTAGCGGGTAATATTTTCAAAATATCGATTCACTTTCCGCACGTAGCATTGATACGCTCGCCTACCGGGCCCAAGTGCACCTCTATTTGTACAAAGTTTTACTCATTTCTCTGAGTGTATGTTCAGAAACAGGGTGATAATTGCAATGAAAATGACATATTCAGAAAAAATATAAAATTGTGCAAATATTGACCCAGTTTCTTACCTAAAACCCAAGCAATGAGCTGAAGTAGCCCTGATGCGCCCTTTTGCTGGGCCAAACTGGGTCAGAACGGCCCAAACAGGGACAAAATGAGCATAGTTATCTGGATAAAATAACACTCATTTCGTTGAGTGAGGTATTCGTTTGGCTAGCAATAGTTTCTTCGTTATTTCTTTATTTATAACGTGAGACTTGTTTTATTCAGCAGCTATTCATTGGTGACGTGGAAGCTGATTGAGCAAAACGATGCGATGTCGGCCATTTGATAAATGATGTTTTTAGTTTAATACGCAAGTTGTAAGTTAGAATTCTATATTCTATATTCTAGAACTCAAAGTTCTAGAATATAGAACTGTGGCAAATTCAATTTTGCGAATATAAAATATGAATAAAATAAAATATATTCATTATAGGAAAAAAATTGAAAACTTCGAATTAACCCCAATTTAGTGATAAAAGTAGCAGCAAAAAAGCAAAACGAGTTTTTTAGTTGAATATCAGGATAAAGAAACGCGTTTTTTTTCCGGCTAAAATGTTTCCGCTTGAAATAACCTTCGATTCATGCACAGAAATCGTTTCATATAAAACTACAAAGTGGGCTCAGAAAATTTAGACTTAAAAAACTTCTTTTTCCATCAGTTTTATTCAAACTGCTTTTTGATACGAAAAGCCGATTGCTGATTCTTACTTGCAGCTTTCCATGAATATCGTTGGTAAGCGTAGAATTATTTCCTTCCTGGAATGCTTTAAGGGAAAATAGCGAGCGAACGAGAAAGCTTTATTGTAAAGAAGTTCTTATAAGATGGAATCATTTATTTTTTTGCATGATTTAACGAGATGTAATTAATCTTTTCATTCATTGATTAAGGTTTCGGTAAGATTTTCATACATCTAAAATTTTTAAGTTCTATACTTTTATCATTTGAAATTCCTTGCTCATTATGTGCATCGAAATATATGCGTGCTCTAAATTATCAGTTAAAAATTACTTCTTCTACTTCTTTCTGAAGACTAATTCGAAAAAATGCCAAGCAGGTAATTTTCACGAATAATGTTCAAAATAAGGTTACACGACCTTATAATTTGAAATGAATGAATGTTATGTTTTTAGCGCATTTTCTCACTTATGGAAAAATGCACTATTGTGCTCGCCATGTCTGTCTGTCTGTCCATCCGTCTGTCCGTCCGTCCGTGACCTCAAGTTTTCGTCGACGAGAAAATGCGCTCTCTGTCACTCACTGCAGTGAGTACTGAGTTATATTTTTTTGCAACTGTTTTGTATTGCTTTTTGCACCACGCAGACTTCATACTTCGGAAATTTCGTTGCTCCATAGCCCTTCTCAAAATTAAATTCAATATAATAATTTGAATTTTAAAGAGATTAAAATGAATCAAACATCATCCTAGTGGCACATTTATAAGTAGGGAATAAATTTGAAATGATTGAATATCATAATATATATAATGAAAGGGTAAGACAAATTTGAAGGTGCACGCAATTAGAAGCTCCTCGATGTTCTAGAATCTAGATCGTGAAATGTGCGACCAATTTTTAGGAAAAAATTTCCCAAACCACGCACATCATCACTAATAAATCTAAATATAAGGAACACATCAGAATGATTTTTTATATAGTCGTTGCCAGACATGCAAGGAACTACATCGGAAAATCGAAATCTTCTCATGAGTATTTTTTACCTAGGGTGAAATGCAACAGGGCTGATTCAAATTCAGCTAACAGGCGTCTCTTATAGGCTTATATATCATGCTCTTAGATGAATATTGTGATGAACTTCTGGCCATTTAAATTAGCCCAGTTAGGTCCGGTTAACTGGCTCAGCAGTGCTCTATTTTCTTGTCTATGATTGTTGGATTTTGCTTGAAAACCGTCAATGATTGGCTGATGAACTTACGATCTCTTAACTTTTTTTGAAAGGATAGGGCCAGCTGTAATGCTCTACTATAGTTCCTCTTCTTCCCGAAGAGGAAGAGAGGGAATCAATGCAATTCTGCATCCCGCCATTTTTCAAACTTTTATTTGGGATGTCCGATTCACTACAGCTTTGGAGGAATAGCTTGCATCTCGCAAACATCCATTGCTCCGTAGTCGTTTTTCTTGAGGGTGAGATAGCGACCAGTTGCTGGAGGCTTCACGTAGATGCGGTTATCACCGTTCGAAGCGCCGTAGACCACTGAAATCTGCAAGTTCGTCGCTATATTCGATGAGGAGCCAAAGCGAATTTCAATGCCTTGAAAGTATCCATAAAAGGCGGCAATTCTTAATTCTTCAATTGTTACGACTTTCCCAAAGTCAACATTCAGAAAGTTGGTTGGAGCATTATTGCTTATAAACCTGTAGCCCATTTCAAAATCGCAGCAGTATCCGTCTATCGTCATCAAGCCTTTAAAGTTCGGAGAAAAAGGTGCTGAAGACATAACCGTCATGTTTGGAGTGATAAGGTTGAATTTGTGTGCCCACGAAGAGTAGCAGGATTGGTACAAGTTAGCACCGAAGCCGATGAAGTCCACGGTCATCAAAGTGGAGTACAGGTCACACATAGTCAACCCTGAGGTGTAGGGAGGGATTTAAAAGCAGAGAGATATGAAAATAACTGATAAGAGCCCTTTTCGCGGGCAGTTGTCCTAATATGTTTAATATGCGCGTAAAATTGCTAGAACTATTCCGATTAACTTGAAATGACAAAAATAAAGGTGGAAAGGATAGAAACAATTAGACATTCGTTTAGACAGGATTCACACCATACTGCCGGGTATTTGTCAGGCACGGTTCAATACAATATTTTTAAATGCATTTCCACAGAAACATTCACAACATGGGCATAGCAGGTGCCTTGCACGGCTGGTGTGAATGCTTCCAAAGAAACACATTAAATAATATTGGAATTGACCCTGACTGGCATATGCCTGGCCCGTGCTCGGCAGTGTGGTGTGGAATCGGCCCGTCTCTGGACTATTTAATTGGTGAGAGTCTTAGCAGGTTAGGTCAAGTTCGGTCAAGTTTCAGTATAGAATTATCTTAAAGATAGCGAAACCCGACCTATCTTAACCTAACCTGCGAGGTTACAGTAGATTATCTTAATTATCTTTACTGGATTATCTCTACAGGAACAACATTATCTTAGATAGGTTCCTTTCTGTGGTGGGAAAAAAAGACCGTTAGGGTCGAAACCTGTAAGTTTGTGGTGAGAATGAGCTGCTTGAAACAGTTATATTACCTGGACTAACGCAGAAGATGCGACACGCAGCATTGCTGAGACACTTCCCTGCGCACTCCGCAACGGTTATCTCGCCTCGCTGATGGTCCGCTGCCTGGTCACTTGAGAGCTTGCACCAAGACGGGTCCGGATAGCCCCCAATCTGGGAAATTACCATCAACTTGCTATCACAAACTTCAACTATATGGCATAGTTTCTTCAGTGCTGATACTGAGAACTGAGCTAGATATATTTACCGGACGATATTTTGCTTAAAAAAATCCTTCGGAAGTAGGTTAGTAAGACCAAGAAGGCATGGTGGCCATTATACGCGTAACATATAACTCAAATTAAGACGACTTTTGGAACAAGTTCAGTATATCCAAGAAGGTGTGATGCCCATTATAACATGTAACTCAAGATGATTTTCTCTCTCATCATTTTAGCTGCAACTGCAGGGTTCAGAACTTGCCTTAATTAAAAACAAATGACGATTCTCTGACTGAGCGTCAAAGATTTGTCAAAAAATTCAGTAGTGTTACTGAACTGCCTTTGAAGGGTATCAACTTGCATTAATTAAGAACAATCGACGATTCTCTGACTGAACGTCAAAGATTTGTCAACAAATTCAGCAGTGTTGCTGAAATGCTATTGAAGGTATCAACTTGCGTTATTTAAGAATAAACGCCGATTTTCTGACTGAACGTCAAAGATTTGTCAAAAAATTCAGTAGAGTTACTGAAGTGCTATTGAAGGGTATCAACTTGCCTAAATTAAGAACAAACGACGATTCTCTGACTGAACGTCAAAGATTTATCAAAAAATTCAGTAGTGTTACTGAAGTGCTATTGAAGGGTATCAACTTGCCTTGACGAAGGTATCTTTCAAGACGACTGCCGTGGTCATAAGGGTATGCAAGAGTCCGAGCAGAAGGAAAACGCTGGCTAGGCGACTCATTCTCCTTTGAATGCTGGAAAAATGAGAGAGTTTATGAAAAATCGGATAAATTTATCGTCGAAATAGTTCCCAATTTGAGAAAATTTTTATTGTGAGATGCAAATTAATTCTACTACCTTCTGGTCCAAGAATAATCATGCGTGACAGTATATCAAACTAATTATTTCGAAACTTGACATTAACCCATGAGTATGTATGAAAAAATATATAATTAGTTACCATGTATGATTATAATTAAATAATGATATAAATATGGAAAAATAATTACTAGCAGCTTCATCTTTGTAAATAATTTCAAAAATTTTCAGTGCCGTAGGAAAGCGTGATTCGTTTGTAGAGATATGTAGTGAGATAGAAGAATGTACTAGAGGAATGTACTAGAAGAATCCAGCACTGCTATGTGAAATGTTTTCAGTGTGTAAATAAAATAATGATTGTCTAGTGAAATGTAATCAATGTACAGAGAAATGTATTCCGCATGTTGAAAAACAATCAGAGAGCATAAAAATGGAATCACTGAGTGCATAAAAATTAATTATTGTGTGAATATTGAATTTGCATTAAATTGCAATGCAATTAATTTCGTTCATATATAGATGTGTTGTATATGTATAAAAATGTTAATGGATTTCTGTTAAAGAAGCTCAAACATAAAATTTGAAATTCACTGGAGTTGAATTCACCTCTTTCAATCACCTTATTTGCTTACGTTATGCGGTGAATTATTTATAAAGCAGGTCCATGGAAGGCTGTGACTTTTTTCATTGGTTAAAAATTTGTATTTTTATCTTTTAACATTTTTATAGTAGAATATCTTTTCCAATTATTAACAGATTTGAGAATCACGTCGCTTCTTCCGCGAAAAAAACGGAGCGAAGCATTTATTCTTTAATTGAATGTAAAAGAATTGCCTGTTGATTCAATATATTTAATAGCTTCAATAGAGTTAATACATTCAATAGCGTCAATGAAGTCGCTAGATGCAATATAATCAATATATTCGACAGAATCAATAGATTCAACAGAATCAATAGATTCAACAGAATCAATATAATCGATGGATTAAATAGAGTCAATAGATTCAATTGATTCAATAGTCATTCGATTCAACAGAGTCTATAGATTCTATAAATCCGTCAGGATTTGACTGCCAATTTGTTGCCTTTTCGCGAGGGATTTGCAACAAGCCCGAGGTTTAACATTTATTCACCCAAAATAAAAAGATTTATAGGAAAAAATGTTTGGTCTCACCCGAATCTCCTTGAAATGAATTTGAATGAAAATATCAAATTATCACATATTTCAGGGATTTTATATTTACAATTTTTTGGAAAGGGTTAAAGGTACGAGCTGGAGCTGAAAATTTTTTTCCGAAGTGTCAAAGGGGAGCGCAACATGGACTAACAAATTTGAACTGGGTTCTGTTCTTATAAGCTGTGTAGGCCAGTGATCAATATGGAACATTCGTCATTATCATTACCCATCGTCATTATCATTACTCATCGTCAACTTTGATGATGGAAGTCGTTAGCTTTGTCAACTGATCACTGAAATCTTCAGTACCAAATCTCGACTTCGAAAATTTCGAATTGTTACAAGTTATTTTATTTAATATAACAGCCTGAATTGTGCGATTTTTTACAGTGGCACGATGAGTTTTGCTAAAATGAAAGCCTAGTAGGAAAATATATATTATATTCACCGCTAACTATCCCCAGCTACGGCAAATTACTCACTAACGACTTTACACTTATAGACAAAAATCTTCTCCTCGAACCAGAAAATTGAGACGCAATTTGTACCTCGATGATCATTAACAGTATTAATGATCCGTCAAAGTAAGGCCAAATTCTCTAATCATAAAATTCTAATCGATTGAACATTTACAATTGAACTGGCTAGTAGTTCAGCCCGTTTGAAAAAGAAATTTTATTTAAAATATTGCGGGATTTTTCAGGGCTTAATTTCTCCACATGCCTTCGAATTAAGAAAAAAATAATGTTGGTGTCATTAATGTAGCAAAAATGTCGTGGGTCATTAAGGCTGCCGGTAATTACTTTTCCAGATTTCCAGTCCAGTAATTCATCCTGGTGTGCGTATTATTGTTTGAAGTCCAGCATTGCAATTTGTATTCTCATTTTATATATTATTATTTTTTTATTAATTACAATTTACGTTGTAATGTTATCCATGACACCCGAGGGTGTAAGAATTGTATTGTGAACGACACTTACCGTTCAGGAATATAATTTTTGGGAATATTATTCACATAAGGCCAATAAAACAAATACGTTAGAGTTTAATTTCGAAACGGAACTATAATGAGAGTTCCGTACTAAATGTGGGAGTTTGTAGATGCATCTTTTTCATTGTGGGACTTTAATTTTGATATATATTACTTATTTGAATATTCGATATTGCGTGTTTCAGAATAACAGGATTCTTGGCGGTGGGATCCTGAATGGCGGGAAAATCTCCTGTTATAGTTATAAATCTCCTGTTACAGTTATAAATCTCCTGTTACAGTTATAAATCTCCTGTTTGATTATAAATAGAATGAGAGCAATCTATTAGTACAGCTGCCCGTGTCTCTGAATACGATGATAAAGAAGTTTACAGAGAGTTCAAACTAAGGTTAAGGATCGAGTTGATCCTTACATTTGCAGGGTAAATTTTCAAAATGAGGTTAATTATTATGTAAAAATCACAAAGCTCCAAAGACTAATTTAGACTGTGGTCAGTTTTTCTTCACACGAAGATTGATGATCTCATCCGGAACGAGTCACCGACATGTGGAACAACTTCCCTGATAGCATCGTTGACGCTCCGAGTATGAACATCTTCAAAAACAGACTAGACGAAGCTATGCAGGAGCATATGTTCAGTCTTAAAATGCATATTATATATAAACATGTGTTCCCAGCCGTCAGTTCAACGTAATGGGCAATTCAAGCCAGAAATATAATAGGTTAATTACGCAGCATATTATTAGGAATGAAAAGAAGATTTTCGGGCTATTAAAACTCCTTGCATAATAACTGTTTCCAGTTAGATATTTACTAACATTCGCTTCCTAAAACAAGAGATGGAATTAATGAATCACAACTCATATAACTTTAATAGATTACTTCAGCACATAACTTCAATCAATGACTTCAACACATCACAACACACATGACATCAACACATCACTCCAACCAATGACATCAATATATTACTTCAACTCATGACGTCAACACTTTACAACGCAAATGACATCAACACTCAACTTCAACCCATGACTTCAACACTTCACAACGCACACATATAAGCATCAACATATAACTTAAACCCATGACTTCAACACTTCACATGACATCACATGACATAACGCACATGACATCAACACATGACCTCAACACATCATAATGCACATGACATCAACATCCCACTTCAACATTATATTTTTCTTTCAGTGTTCCATGCTAAGAAGTGAATAGAACTTCATAAGCGAATTCCGGCTTCCAGATACGAAAGGGATTGAACATAAAATGACACATGCAAATACCCATAAACCTATTACATTACAATTTATTATGAAAATAAAACAATGCATACAAAAATACTCAATCGATTACATTACAATTTATGAGTTATACTGTTTATTTATGTGATTTTTAATTATATTGTGATGATCATTCATCAATATTCATTTATTGATGTTAATCGATCTTTTTTCGTCTATAATTTCAAAACATAATTTTAACATAATAAATTTACCACACACTATGGTCTCGAATCACTTCCAGGCATTTTCATCTCCAGCATCCCATGGTCACAGCTGGAACAGATGGGCTTTGTCAGATTTAACTCTCTACCGCCGTATGTCACTCTCCGGGAACATAACTTTTAATTTAAATCAGTGGTTACCAAATTTTTTCAGGCTGGCGCCCCCTTTAGCTCCCTAGTGAATTTCTAGCGCCCCCTACAGACATACGCCACTTTCTTGAAATTTAGTACGCTGCAATTTTAAAAGATAAAGGTTGAACACAAATGTGTATTTCACAAATAGAACCCCATTTAGTGAACAAATGTGTTTTTCAGCTGTTTTAACTGTTTCAGCACTAGAAGCCCAGGACGTCGCGGGCGAATTTACGGCCGGGCTCGGGGCCAGTCTCACGACCAATCTCCAAATTCGATTATCAAGAAAATATCTCCCAAACAAATGAATGCAGCTCTATGATACTTGGAACACGTATTCATCAGAACCTAACGGTGTTTAGCTCATAAATTTTTTAAATTTCAACTTCATTCGTGAGTTGCGCGTATATTGCGAAACAGGCCGAAATTCGCATTGATCAAAGAATTTCTTCCAAACTATTTAACAGATTTGAACGAAATTTGGAATATACATTCCTAAATACCAAGCGGTGATTTTTTAGCTTATAAATTTTTTTTCGATTTTACCTTCGTTTGCGATTTTTTTCATTTCAACGTCATTCTTGATTTCACACTTCCTTATATTCGGCCCGTATCGCCGGGTAATTTGTCGCTTAAATTCGAGGCGATCAAGAAATTTCTTCTAAACTACAGGACAGATTTCAACGAAGCTTCGTATATAAATACATAACCTCTCAACGGTGATGTGTAGCTCGTGACAATTTTTCCATTTTGCTTTCGTTTGCGACTTATACAGATATAGTAGGAACGACCGGCTTTTCTACCGGTCGATCGATGACTTCTATAAATCAGAATATGTTTACGTATAACCGTATAACTCGCAAACGAAGGCAAAAAGAAAAAATGTAAACATCACCGTTGCTGAGGTTAGGTATATAAATACTAAGTTTCGTTCAAATCTCTTCAGTAGTTTGGAAAAAATTTCTTGATTGCTGCGAATTTAAGCACGAATTGCTGTTCAAATCACGAGTGAAGGTGAAAAAAACTCGCGAGCGAAGGCACAATCGAAA